AATGCCCGAAAAGGGAGGGGCAACTGGAGATAGGACAGTGGAAAGAACAAAGAAGAGGCGACACACGGAAATAAATGAAGAATGCTGAATTCTCTTCCTGTCTCAGTCTTTCTATCCACGCTTCAAAGTCGAACTGAAGCCCTTTGTTTGAGGAGAGCCGATTCCAGTAATGACACGAGGAATCCAAACACCAACAATGTGGGTCAACGCACGACATAGGAAGTACAACCAGGAAACAAACTCATGCTAGGAAAGAAGGAAATGCATCTAGGAAGTGAACAGTAGGATGAAAGGAGATAAACTCAGCAGAGGCAGGAAGACGAAGTAAACTAGGAGTCAACACAGGAAGCTAGGAAAAAACAATTAGGCTGAGTGAAGTACTCAAATATACTTCCTATAGGTTGTTGCTGGGCTATACAGAGCTATACTGTGTGAGTCAATGAGACAGTCCGTTACATACGGAGAGTGCTTGAAGGGGCCCTATTATGCTTTTTGGGGATTTCCCTTTCTTGTAGTGGGTTATTTAGGTTTTTGTGCATGTGAAATGGTCAGTAAAAGATACAATCCCTGTGTTATCCCAGAGGGAGTTTTTATAGAGCGCTTGTTGAACATTAAGGTGCTGTTTACACGAGAACGCAAATGGTTGTATCTGCTACTTTTCTCTTTCGTATAGACCGTTCGTTCACACTTGGCCGTAACGGAAACGCGGAAACGGACCCCGCAAACGATAACGGATCCCAAGGTGGATAGATCTGCAACCAGAACGATATGGGGGGGTCAAACGGCTCAGTGTGTACGCCCTATACGATCATTTCCTGATAACGATGAAGCCATAGCCCCGCCTCTCCCCACCTCTGCTGCTCACTGCTGTAGCATGGACAGTAGCTAATGCTACTGCTACTGACCATGCTACAGATGTTAGTGCAAAATCTACAACTCCTCTACCACAACCATCAGCAACAAGTGGACATGGAGAATTACATGAACTACATGTGGCTACATCCACGGCGGGGAATAAACAGAAGGGCAACCATGGCAACCATGCTCGGGGGTCTTCTTCGCTGCTTTTGGTGTATTTTGTGGCGGAAGTACAGCGCCACTTACAGGCCCGGCATATGTACTACAGCGTCTCCAGCGCTTTCGAGCGGTCTCGTTTGAACAGAAGACTTTTTTGATATGGTATTCGGTTTGTTTGCATTTGCGTGTAAATGGGGTCTAAAGCATGGAGATATGTCATGTTAGCATAATGGGGACCCACTCAGGGACCCACCGACACAGTATGAACTTGCGTCAGGCATTTAGGGTTAATTTGCCTGACAAAAGGCAAACAGGACTGGCTGACTGCCCCCAGTGTGCTTTGCTTAACATCCCAAAAGACATGTCAATCACAGTAGTTGTAATGTTGTGTAAGTATAACGAGAGGTCAGCCAATAACAGCTCTCCAAAATACCCAGGGAAGGAAACCAAAGATCTGAGTTGGCCCTCTCTATTGCCCAACATGGCTACTGCATGGTGAGGGGACAAACCTTTATTTGTGCGGAAAAGGAACGTAGTGTACTTCCCACGCCAGAAATAAAAAGAAAAGAACAAGAAGAAAAAAACTGAAGTGGGGGTTAAGATTTGGCAGCTGTGAATGTCGTTTCCTCCTTCAGAGCGTTCATATCTGCAATCTGAGTTACTCACTCTTCGAGGAAAAGAGGGTACAAGGTTTCTCTTTTGGATGACTACAGTGGGATGGTGTTTTATCTGTAGAGAGGATGTTCTGCACTTCCTAGAATTGGGCTGCTTTTGCAATTAGATGTCCATTTAAAAACACATAGTATAGAAGCTGCTAAAATGTTATATTTGTTTATAATCCAAACCATTTGAGAATTGTATAATTTGCCTAGCCCAGCTAATAATGACATCAGGACTTGTGATCAGTAGGTTGATCCCTTAAATCTGTGTAATACTTTTAAAAGACAACCTTATTCAAACTCCTTACCACAAGTTTAACTTATCTTTTAAAAATCGATGATCAATAGACCTCATAATCAAAATTAAACCATGTTTTTTTATTTAAAAAAAGGCGAAGAAAATGTTGAAATCAGAGGAATATATCTTGATGGATATACAAATTAGTGTATGTCCAAGTTTAGTCAGGATCACCTCTTGAAACCATTTAAAATATTTAGTGGCACCATATATTGACACCAGATGGTAGCCATTAATAAAACACAATTGAATAAAAGTACATTTCTTTATCTCAATGAGACTTTCCTGTTTAAATAAAGGTTAAACTCAATTAATCATCCCTGTTATTTGTGTGGCAATAACATCAAATGAACTCTTATTCCGACATAAAAACATTTAGAAATTCACAGGAGGGTGAAGAACTGGTTCAAAGATGGTTTGTTCACATTTCTCTAAGATTTCACATTTGTGTAACTTACCGTCACAGGTGAAGGTCACAGGCTGTTGAGACTCTGAGATTTCAATAGAAACTTTGACAGAGCAGCTGTTCTCTCCTCCGCTGTCCCTCTGCGTGATGACCGGGCTCAGGACGTAGCCGGGGTTGGTGGACGCGGCGTCATGAGGGAATTTGGAGCGCAGACTGAAAGGGAAACAAATAAAAACATTCACGACAGAGGAGAGTCAACACCTTTTGTCTGTACTTCGCCAGTGAAAACAGTTTGCACAATCTATGGACAATTTTGCACTAATTGTACATTCCTAAAGAAATTGAAGCGACTGTTATTTTGTATATAGATTGTTGTGTTTTTATTTAGGTCTTAATGTGTGCACATGTAAAATATACATATTTGCACACATATTTTTTATATACATTTGTTTTATATTTGGGATTGTGGGAAACGGTATTTCGATCTCTCTGTCTGTACTCACAATAAAGTTGACTTTGACTTTGAAAACACAACAGCCTGAAACATAAATCTGATTGCTTGGATGAGTGGAAGAAGATGCATTATGGGTAGTTGAAAAGGAAGATTGATGGAGGGGAGAAGGAGAAATTAAATCGGAAAACAATTATTTGGACACTGATAAGTTCATATTTTTTCATTTGGAATGTACCACTTCTAATCAATATAGCGTTCTTGCACAGTATCATCATAACCCTGTCTTTAATGTCTTCTGTGTAATAGTTTTGGCTTGGGTTGTTGGGAGGGTAATCGATGATGAAAATGCTTTGGAATGACATTTCAAATCTTTCTTAATTTACAGTCTTATGGGAGGCTAGGTTACTTGTGATTGAGTAGAGAAGCAGACAGCAGGCGTTGACTCTGTAATGGAATTGAAAGTGGACTCCCTGAGCACAGCTTCATCATCACTCCACCCAAACTAACTACTGGAGAGAAACACTAGGTACAGGCTCAGGAAACGTGCAAAACATGCAATTATGTTATAAATGCAGAACAATGTCTAACTATTGAAATACAAATGAGAAGAAATGCTATGTTAGCGTCATGCTCTAGGGAGGTCGATGGTGGTCACTTTGGTTATGACTGAATTATCTCAACAACTACAGGATGGATTGTCATGAAGTTTTGCACGGATATTCATGGACCCAAGACTGTAAAATCTAATGAGTGACTTTTACTCTATTGCCACAAGTTCATCTGGATAGGTTGGCAAGCATTTGTACAGAAGTTATCAGTTGGTGACTTGAATTGAGTTTGTTATAAGGCCACCATAAGGCTGACATGTAGTTTTGAGTGAAGAGCTTTATTGATATGTTTGATACCATGGTTGGTTACATCTGGACCAACTGCAGCTGGAACATATTTACCTGCAGAGGCAAGTGTTAACATCATTACCTCCCTTTTGTGTAGGTTTTTCTTCTCCGTTGGATTCTTCAGTTATCAAATATACTCCTGAAGAGGTTAGCTTAAATGCTGCATAAGCATCAGTTATATCGGAACTGGAGAGTATCTATTCGATTTAAAGAAGATGAAGGAAGGGCACTGAAGGATTTTGTCGTGGCTTTTTTGACAGTCTAAGTAATGTTTTCGACTGAGGGTTCGATTGACTGATGGTGCATCCAATAAGAAGTTTCCAATGATGCATTATCAGACGGTTCTGTAAACAAATCAACTTGTGGTCCAAATGGCCTCCGTTATCGCTTTCCTTTCACTAAAGTGGCATAGGTTGGCAGGGGAAGAATATCAGCCATTTTGACATTGATAATTCGTAATATTAATCATATAAATAAATCTAGAACACTCAAACAAGCAAAGAAGGGGAAGAGTAATCAACAAAGTGTTTTTTTATGCCATCTGGAAGGCTCTTACGTTGCTACGTCTTCACAGAAGGCGACAACCTCCAGGTTTTGAGCGTCCCGTTCCTCCAGGGCAGCATTCTTCAACAAACCTTTTCCTTTGTCCTACAGGAGCAAAGAGCAGACAAACACAAAATGTCAGCGGACGAGAAAAGGACATGAGTAACAGGCTTACGTCAAACAGAAGCAGGCCAGGTGGAGACAGGCAGGACATGAGGACAATGAGAGGCTGAGTTTCATTTATAGTGCGTCCAACACATATGAGCTCATTACATCAGGAGTGACTGTGGACTACAAAGGGCATTTTTAATGGAAACACCTCAGAGCTATGAATCCTGTAGAGTGAAAACACGGCCTGACACAACAGATAGAAACACACAAAAGGTCTCCTGCCCCCTTTATGCCTTTGTCGTGAAAAAACGCATTGATTTAACATTTAATTAACGTTTAGTTTTTTTATACGTAAATAAAAAGGAAGATTGAAACAGCCTCTCTGGCACATACAATTCCCATTATACACGCCAGAGCTGCTCTTTACTTACACAGTGTTTCCCCTACCATTGTCTTGGAGGGGCGCTGCGCCCCGCCAACGGAGCCCCGCCCCCCCCCTGAAATTCAAGGTGTTTATAAAAAAAATAATTCAAATGTCTTTTTATTCATTTTTTATATATCTATATATATATAGCACCAAATTGCAACTAATTTATATCTACTGTCACTTTTCACATTGAACATGTGCTCTTTTATTTTAATAAACACTTTCATTTTAAGTTGTGAGTTTAGTGTTTTTGACCCTAAGAAACACTGATGCATTAATCAATAACAATAATCCACAGCTCCTCTCTCTACCCCCCCCCCGCACAAAAGATTCAGTACATTAAACACAAGATTAATAATAACACCAATACAACTGTACATTGACAAAGCGTCCAAACGGCGGCATGCGTTGAAGCTTGCCGGTGGGCGTGTTGGAGTGTCTGAAACTCGACCAACAACCAATCACATGAATCTCCCGCCCCGGACACACAAGCACGCGGTTTGATTGGCTAGAGCTTGTACTGGCATATGATTTGATTGGCTTCCGTCGAAGCTTCAAAATTAGAACATTGCTCTACTTTTGAAGCGAGCAACGCGAAGCGACGGCACCACAATGCAGTTCGGCAAAGCGTGACGTCACCCCACTCAAAGTGAATGGGCAGAAGCTTCAACGCACGCCGCCGTGTGGACAGGCCGTAACAGAGCAGTTCAAGAGCAATTTAAACAATAAACTAAAAGAAACAACGATGGACAAATAATGGCTGTAAGAAACTACACAATGAAGGGCGGAATTGTTTTTTCTTTTACTCATGTTTACTTAATATTTAAAGAACCGAGTTGACAGTTTTAAACCTGTTTCACACACACACACACACACACTCTCACACCCACAGATCCTGAGACAGCTCCCGTAGGAATCACTGTGAGAGATTCCTGGCGGCTGGCCTGTTGCCGGGAACTCGCAGTTACACTTTTAACGGCTGACTTACTGCCAGCGACACAGGAATGTGCTTCCTGTGGCACAGGAAATTAGAAGAGAAAGGCCCCGCCCCTTCCTGGACAGGACTCTGGGCCCTCTGCAAAAAAGGTGGCCTGTCATGGCTTGGAAATCTGCGAGTCTGACATCACTCAGGGAAGAGAAGGGAGAGGAAATGTTTGGAATGTGATAATAATCCTCAAAGATTTATGAGGAGATTTTGAACAGAGGGTTTTTATTAGCTCAGGGCGAAGTACGGCTTATGTTGTAAGGCTAATGATGGTGAAGATAGAAAAACGTTGTCATGACTTGTTGGAAGTCAAGTCAATTAACTTTTTATAGTTCTTTTAAGTTGTTGGATGATTGAAGGTTTTTTCCCAGAGCCCAAGAGAATTTATATAATGTTTTGTCTGAACATGTAAAAAGACTTTCTTTTTTTTTTTTTTAACCATCAACAATTATAATACAAAGAAAATCCAAAAAATATACAAAAAATGTTTTAACAATTCTGTATAACATGATTTGACCTACACATGAAATAGCTGCCAATGAAGATTCTGCTATTGAATTTCATTGAGTCACCATTTTGAGTTTCCATTAAATACAGTTAAATCGTCTTTTTTCTCAAAGTAGTTAAAGAGCATTCATATTTAATTTGGCTATAAGACAATATATATTCTATGATCCTGGTTTGATGCCAGCCAGGGATCTTTGTTGTAAGTTGAACCATGTCAAATCATAAAAGGGCACGCAGGCGATTCTAAATAAATATACTGCTTTTGTGGCAGTGTTTAAGGAGTATTTAAAAGTATGTATTAACAAAAACAAACCCATTACATTACATGCCACTTGTTAGACGCTTTTATCCAAAGCAACTTACATACTCAATACTGTGGACAATCCCCACAGGAGCAATTTGGGGTGAAGTGTCTGCAGGGACACAACGACATGCTGACTGCAGTGGGGTTTGAACCTGTAACCCACTGATCCGAACACCAACGCACAACCCACTGCACCACACGCCCCCGTGACTGAGGTTGGTAAAAGCGCACGTGCCTGCTCCCCTGGGTTTCAAGTCAAATAAGGCAACAACCAAGAAATTATCTTAAAAAGAAAAATGCAAAAACTTAAAATTACAAAGATCACAAGAGATATTTCTTGAACCATAACTTCAGAGAGCTTTGTTCCAAGTGCTGACCTGACACAACGCCGGGAGATAGAAATCTCTAAGTCAGCATGTGGAGTTGGAAAGGAGGCCAAGCATGACACCACCTGCACCTCCCAAAACAGAGGGGGGGGGAGAAACTGGGTTCCTGATGCCCCAGTTCTCTCTCAGATATTCAATATTTCTGCACACAAAGCTTTTAGTGTTTCAATTCGACTATTTGTGGAAATCGCTCTATTTGTGGAATAACAATAACAAAACTGAATCAATAAACAGAGTGAGGCCACACACACACACACACACACACACACACACACACACACACACACACACACACACACACACACACACACACACACGATTTTAGTTGGACGCGGCAGAGAGCTCCTGGTGTCTGAAGTCATGGGAACGGCTTCGTATGATTCACACTAATCCTTCATCCTTTTACTCTGGTGTTTCACCCACTGACCTTAATACCGAGACACACTGTACATCATAAAGGAAGATGTTAATCCTGATGGTGGCTTGTTATGCCCTGGGTGTGTGACCAGTAGTCCACGCTGATTAATGGCAGAAACCTAAACAGAGATTACTTTAAAACTCAGTAGTATAAGTATTTGTTGTTGTATCTGGTCACAGTCCAACAAATGTCTCATGATGGATTTGCTTAATGGATTTTTCCAGACGTTTACACAGACAAGGCAAAGGACTTTTCCACACTTTCATGAAAAGCCTTTGATATAAACGCTATGACAAATCTCTTTAAGGGCAAGATTCAAGTCTGAAAAAGTGAGACAATCAATTATGAAACTCCTGCTTCTACGCAATGACACAGATGTAAAACTATTCAAGCCATTTTCCCAATGCAACTTATCCCCATGGTTGAGTGACTATTAAAAGTTTTAAAAGTATTAAATAAGGATGTTTTAATTATTTGTTTTTCTTTAATGGATACATAGACGTCTAGTCCTTGGCTGTGTCTTGTGTTGAAGACAGGGATTACATTTCTAAGTATGCTTCAGTTGTGAGAGCACTTTGTCCTGCCCTCAAGTGTGGATTTTAGAACAGGTATAAACGTTGTAACTTTCAGAGAAGCTCGAAAAACTCCTGCGGTATTTTGAACACTAGTAATACTACGGAGCAATGAGATGAGTGGGTTCACGTTTGGCATGTTCTGGTGAACACACACAAAGACGCACATACACACACAACCAGCGCGACAACCCCCCGCAAAATGACACTTTGTATTATCAGAATTTGACCCCTTCAGTCCCATTATAGGGGAAATTCCAGAAGAATATTTGATCCCATTCATGTGTGCGGGGAGCCAACAGGAAGTGTCAAACCAGCTATCGTCTATCATGTAAACAATGCAGTTGTCAAAAATCTTTAATGTTTATGAGAAAGGAAATGTATTCGTTGTATTTGTTCGTTCACAAAGAGACTCCACAGGGTACCTATAAGGTGTTTTAATATTTGCAGAATGTTTCTGTTGACTTTTAGATTATTTCTCCCGTCTTAGTTTAGTAGGTCACTTTGTTTTGTACTTACAACAGTTCTAGGTTTTATAACAGAGCAAATATTCTAACCAGTATAGGCGTCCCATTAAAAATAGTACAAGCAAACAACGAAACATTAATTAACAATCCTTCTTTATCAATTTTTTTTGATGATATTGCATTTATCAATCATTCCATTAAACTGCTTTTTGTTACGCTCGTTTTAAAAACCTGTTCTCTATCTGAATCAAGATATACACATCCCTCAAAGGCCTTTCGTGCTTGATGCTGATAAACAAGGTAGCAGAATGTTTTTGTACTACTGCATTGTCTCTCAGCAGACACACGAGTTACAGCATGGTTAGCTTGAGGGACTTTGTGGTGCTGCATTCACGCAGGATGTCTGAGCAGTGGGAGAACTGAGAGGCTCAACCAACCACAGTCACGTCTGGAGGCTGATGGTAATTCCAAGCCCGACACCAGTATTGAGTTACTACACATCTACACATCCAGACATTAGACACCTCCGCGCAATGAAAACTACACCCAGACAGCCCACAGGAAACCTGCACTCAAATATTCACAAGCCAATCATTCACCAGCCTACAAGTTGTGTACGACAAGTTGTAGGCAAAACATGATGGGTTATTTAACTGTAAAATATTTCAGTTTTTAAGTGCTAAAACGTCTAATCTCTACGAAAAAATTGCTACTGTAAATTCAGGCATTTATCTGACACTCAAATGACCTGCATGTCTCATCACAGTACAAGCATAATGTAGTTTCTCCAGGCTTCTTTTCACAATATAACTTTGTATGGGAAATGCTGAAGGATGCAGTCGTGCGGATGCAGCACTTACTGAAGAAATGTATTGATTTTAATGTTTTGTGGATACTCAGCTACCCATTACTGTCAGCCTAAATGATTATGACAGCCTCTGTGAACAAAATGTTCTGAATAAGGATGCAGCTTCATGAAAGGAGACTTACATCAGCAGAACAAGCTGCTCACAAAAAACACAAATCAACTTCTCCTTTCGATCAAGAAATGACTGATCGCTTCCTCACTCTGAAATCCTGGGGCTCAAGAAAATGAAAAGAGATACTAAATTGTAATCTCTGCAAAATTGTATAATTCAACTTCTTCCTAAATGATCTTATGCATGGTTTTATTATGTGCATTTGTCTCTTGTTTCAACCTGCTTTAGTACTCCATCTTAAACAATACATCTCCTGTTTTATGGCCAGTAAACAGGGTCAGAGGTTAGGAGACATAGAGCCGTTTGCCCAGTGAGTCACAGCGTTAACTGGAATTCATGTCACATCCATGCACTACAACATCCTCTCACCCTGCAATCTGTCTGCTGGAACAAAAATGCTCATACTTGTGCTTGAGGTCTCATTAGACGATAATAAAAAGAAAATGGGGTCTGCAGTGGGTTGGTGTGGAGTTGTAAGAGACGTAAAAAACCTGCTTGAGGTCTTAAAATATGCGCGGGGGGGGGGGAAGGAAAGATTTGACTGTGCCAAAAATGTACAAGTATTCACACTCTGATGTTGAATCACAGCACATAATCAGATAAATATGTCTAGATCAGACAAAGATCAGCCCGCAGGTTATTTTGAAGGAACGAAGCAAGAACAAACAAGTATAGGCATGCACCAAAAGAAGCAAGCTACATACTTCAGGGTTTGATTTAACACTAGCACTCAACATTTAATTTAGTCGGCTTTTATCTGGCTAATTATTTAAATCATAATCTTAATTAACAACACTCACATTGTGCATTACCAGTATTTCAATTCAATATATTAGTAGCCAAACTAGCATTACATGTAATCTCTTTGCCAAGTTATTTCCTTTATTTCCCCCACGTTCACATCTAACTTAAGCCCTTACCATATCTTCTCTGGCTTTGAAGATCTACTG